CTGTTCACAATAGCCAAAATCTGGAACCAACCCAAGTGCCCTAGAACAGATGACTGGTTAAGGAAACTTTGATACATCTATGCAATGTAATACTACGCAGCTGTCAGGAGAGATGATGTCATGAACTTTGCTTATAAATGGATAGACATGGAGAGTATCATGATAAGTGAAATGAGTCAGAAAGAGAGGGACAGACATAGAAGGACTGCACTCATTTGTGAAATATAAAACAACATAACATGAGGCTGACACCTAAGGACAGTAGATACACTGGACAGATAGATTTATCCATAGCTGGAAGCCTGCCTCCTGAGCAAAGGGGAGAAGGCAGCTGGAATAGAGAAGGCATCACTAAGAAAAAGATGGCTGAGGAATCGGTCAGGATGGGAGATGTGTGCAGACAGTAGATAAAGGACAAAACATGATAACCTCTCATGGTCTGTATTGCAAACCATAATGCCCAAAAGTAGAGAGAGATTATATGGGGAATCATGTCTGCCATGGAGGCAGAGGGAGGGTGGGAAAGGGGGGATATACCAGGGATATTGGTGGTGGGAGATGTGCACTGGTGGAGGGATGTGTGTTTGATCATTGTGTGATTGTAACCCAAACATGAAAGCTTATAACTATCTCACAGTGATTCAATAAAATTAAAAAAAAAAAGAGTAGCCTCTGAACACAGTGTCAGGGGTAATACCCAAGCTCTGCTTGGACATACATCAAATATTCCATTACCCTATTCACCTACATACAAACAAACATACATACACGCACATCACACATATACAAACCACCTAAAATGACTACTTTTATTAACTACATTATCTTGTGCCCCTCTCTTTTCCTTCTACCTACCATAACTATAGGGGAAGAAATGACCAGCCCCTACTAAAAGAAAAAGAATGAAGGTATAGTTTACTTATAAGAGATATAATTTATTTTATTCAATGAACATTTATTGGAGGTAGATCCCCTATAGAAGTGCTAATTTTTTGAGCAATATATATTTTTTATTACTCAAAGACATTATTTTCCTCTGAATGACAAACTCTTTTTAACATGGCTGTTTCTTAGACCATTCCTTTCTGATTCAGTCATTCAGTCATCATGATTATCTAATCATGAGTAATGTTAATAGGTTATGCCATCTAAATATGATCACCTTTCCAATGTAAGACATTTCTATCCATCCCTGAGATCTCTTCACTGCTTCTTAACAGGTCTTTGTAACTACTCCCAGCACTTTAAATCTTCCTGTCCCCTGTAGTATGATTGGTATTTCTAAAACATAAATATGACTGCATCCCTTCTAAGGACATGAGGGATCCAAATGCTATACTGTCAAAGCAGAACATATATTTCGGAGGGATGGAAGTCGGGGAGAACACCCCGCCAGTGCTCAAGGCTTCCTCCTAGCTCCGCACTCAGGGTCACCCCTGGCAGTGAAGCACCATAGGTGGTGCTTGGATGGAAGCTGGGTAGGCTGTGTGTAAGGAAAGTGCCCTGCCCACAGGATTATTTTTCCATCCCAGTGGCGATTAATGTCATTGCGGCACTGCTTCCCTCTACCACTTCAGCTCGCCTGCGCCATGTTCTGGCCATTCTGACCTTAAAGTTTCTCAAATGTTCAAAGCACTATTTCACTTGTAAAGCAAAACATTCCAGGAACAATCATTCAGCCACGTCATACAGTTATAATGCTCAATTTCAAGGAGCTCCTGCGGCTGTGTTACTGTCACCAGCCTCACCGCGGGACCCTCCAGACCACATGGTAATTGCCAACTTCCATGGCACTGCCCTCCCAACTATAAGAAAATGGAAGCAACAATTATATAACCCACTTTCAAGGAGTTTGTTGATTACTTTTTTATTGGAATCACTGCGAGATACAGAGTTACAAAGCTACTCATTGGTCAGATTTCAGTAATACAATGTTCCAACACCCATCCCTCTACCAATGAACATTTCCACCACCTATGACCCCAGTTTCCCTCCTGTCACCCCCTCACCCAGCCTGTCTCTATGGCAGGCAACTTTCCTTCTTTCTATTTCTATCTCTTTGGGGCTGTTATGGCTTGGGATACAGATTACTGAAAGCACTATTTTCAGCACATAGTTCTTATCCAGAATGATCATGTCCAACTCTCTTTATCATAGTTGTCCTTTCTGTATTCAAATTGCCTTTCCCCCAGAACATGAAGTGGCAACCAAATGTGAACCAATCTTCCTGGCCCTTGTTTCTACTGTTCTTGGGTACTAGTCTCATATATATTTTTATATCTCACAAATGAGTGCAATCATTCTATGTCTGTCCCTCTGCTTCTGACTCAATTAACTCAGCATGGTACTCTCCATATCCATCCACTTATAAGCAATTTTTGCTTTATTTTTCCAAACAGCTTTATAGTATTCCATTGTGTAGATGTACATTTCAAGGAGTTTAGAATAATTATAAATCACAGGAGTTCAAGTAAGCAAAACTGGATATTAGCCCTGCAATAAAAATGTCCCACAAAGTTATCCATTGAAAGAGGCCTCCACCTCTTTGAGTCTTTATTGATTTTGACTCGCCTTTGTTAAAGATTATCACTATTGCTGCATAATTAATCTGTTATTGAATTAGGTTTTTTTTTGGTTTCAGAATGCATGTTCATCTTGTTTATACTAGCTAACCAATAACACAATTTTATCTCGACCCCCCAAAAATGGCTTCAATAACTTTATTTAAAAAACTATATAGCTCAAATTTTGTATATAGGAATTTTCAAAGAAGCAAACGTTTTTGTGGGGAACATATGCCTTGAGGTTGGGAATTGTATATCATTAATCTATATAGATATGTTAGAGCAAGATGGTGTAGAAACTGGCTCATTCCTCTACCGGGATTTAAGTTTGCAAATTGTATATGTGAATAGTTTTTAAATTTGATCACTTGCTATCCCTTTACTCATTAATTTGCTCGAGTGGGTGCCGGTAATGTCTCTATTCATCCCTGCTGTGTGCTAGCATAGCCCAATGGCATCTGCTCATTCTAGGAACACAAAGAGCCTCAAACCGATCGTTCAGGGTCTTGATGAAGAAATCTGACCATCTTGTAGGTGGGTGGCCAAGCAATATTTTGACATCATCCCGTGGAATCCAGTCGGTAATGGCTCTGGTCCAGTGGTAGTCTCTAAATCTCATTACATGTCCAGTCCATCTGATTTTCGATGCCTTGGCAAATGAGACAGCATCCCTGATTCTTAAGCGTTGATGGAGTTCAGAACTCCGGATTCTTTCTCTCATTTGAGTGAAGTGTGATATTCTAAGCATAGCTCTTTTGATTCTTCTTTGAGAGACCCGAATAGCATTCTCATCCTGTGTTCATAGAACCCAGGTCTCTGAGGTATATGTTAATGCAGGAAGAACAGTGGAATCGAAGACATATGGGTGGAATCGAAGAGATATGCTTGGAGCTGGAGGTTCTTCGTCCTCTTAGTTATTTCTTCAAAGCTTTTGAAGGCCTTCCAAGCCGCTCTCATCCTCCTGCGCAACTCTGGTGCCGGGTCATTCATCATGTTGACTTCTCGACCTAGGTACACATAACTGTTACATTCAGAAATGTTCATTCAATTGAGAGTGAATGGAACATCGGGAACAAGACTGTTTCTCATGAACAATCTCTTTGTGAGATTCAGCTGTAATCCAACCTTTCAACACTAACTTGATGAAGTCGGTCAGCATTTGTGCTGCTTGGCTGATGTTTGGTGTTATTAGAACGATGTCATCAGCAAATTAGAGGTGGTGTAGTTGCCAACTATCTATCTTCACTCCTATTTCTTCCCATTCCAGTCGTCACATGAGGTTCTCGAGGGTGGCACTAAAGAGTTTCGGTGAAATGGTATAACCCTGCCGAACCCCTCTCTTGACATCAATGATCACTTCTTTGTAGAATGGTGAGATCCTGGTAGTGAATCCGTAATTCAGCTCACGATGGATCCTGATGTATTGAGTTTGAATGCCCTGATTGACTATGGCTTCGATGACTGCTTCCATCTCAACAGAATCAACGGCCTGATCAATGAATGTTAGACAGAGTGACATCTTGAACTCCTGAGAAACCTCAATGATCTTGGTTATCATGTGGATATGGTTGATGGTGCTGAATCCTTTTCGGAACCCAGCTTGTTTGCATGGTTGTTCTTCATCTGTTGTTCTGCCAATCCTATTTAGGATGACTCGAGTGAACAGCTTGTAGATGACAGACAATAGGCAGATCGGGCAATTGTTGCCAATGTTGTGGAAGTCTCCCTTCTTGTATAGTAGTACAGTCCTGCTGGTTTTCCATCGGGAAACCTTGGAACCTTGCAATCAGACAGGTAGCGTGTGAAGAGCCGAGCCAGTGTATTGATGAGTACTGACGGTAGGTTCTTCAGGTGTTCATGTCTGACCTTGTCTGAGCCAGGTGCTCTTGCTCTTTGTTTCTTTACCAATGAGATGGCGTGTAGGATTTCGGAAGGGAGAATGTTGGGAATGACATATTCATCCTGTGGAATTTGGTATGTGGGCAAGTGGACATGGCTATTAAAGAGATCCGAGTACAAGTAATAAATAATCTTCTCCATTGCCCTTCTGGAAGATGTGATAGATCCATCAGGATGTCAGAGGACAGTCTAAATTTCTAAACAAAGGAGGTAAATTATCATGGCTTAATACTAGGGAAGTAGTTCTGCTCTTTAGTTAAATTTTGTGGAAGAGAAATGGAAGGCTATCCTGTATTCATCTACAGAACAGTAAGTGAATCTTTGTCTACTGAGGATTATGATTTTCCTTCTGGGTATTTAGAAAAACAATCCTGGAGAGAGAAGAAAAATATTGACTATATGTTGGTGGCACCTGTCAGAGTAGTTACTTTCACTATGACTTTTATAAATTTTGAATCCTTTAATTATTCAGAATACTTGAATGTATACCAAATAGAATGGTATCTCAAATCTAATCCCTCATTTGTTTCCCAACAGGTTCTCTAACTCTTAGAACTCATCATGTTCAAGATTCCAAAATGGGATTTGTAATCAATGCCATCTATTCCATGGCCTACGGGCTACACAACATGCAGCTGTCCCTCTGTCCTGGCTATGCGGGACTGTGTGATGCAATGAAGCCAATTGATGGACGGAAACTTTTGGATTCCTTGATGAAAACTAATTTTACTGGAGTTTCTGGAGATATGATCCTATTTGATGAAAATGGAGACTCCCCAGGAAGGTATTGATACAATCATACTGAAAACAATAACCTGGACAGCATTAATCACTTTGTCCTGGGATGTCACATGGGGTTTTTTTCTTTGCTTTTATTTAGGTTTCCTGGTCTTGTTTGGCTAGTTTTGAAATTACAAAGAGCAAACAGAGAAGGAGACACTGTGTTCTATGACCAGCAAACTAATGACGATGATGTATAAAGCGTGCTATTGGTATCAACTGGTATTTCAGATACAGGAGTCCCACATTATTATAGATGATCAAAGACCTAGTAGCCCTCTGCTCCTGTTCCTCATGTTATCCCATACATGAATTCTTGTATTGACAGCTGTTTAATTATCTAAAAATTGTTTTATGTATCAAAAATATATTATGAAACTAAATTACTTATTATATTCTATCTGGGTAAGTTCCTCCATTCACAAGCCTGAATCACCCTTTGTGCACTAGTGAAGGGATCGGTATTGGAACAGTATATGCCTCAAACTTGATAATAAATATTCTTGTAAGTTTTTAATTCATGATGATTCAATTAAAAAAGGGGAAACAGGAAGAAGAAATAAATAACCAGTTTTTGAAATTTCTGAAATTTCACCTTGACTATTTATGTAAAAGAGACTGAGAAATACCAACATACTTAGGTCAGACTACAGGGAAAGTCATTAAGTACTTGAAATCTATCAGAGTTCACATTTATTTCATAGTCCAAATGCTTAAGTGACTCTGGACATGTGTGACTTTATTTCACTGGGACTAATGCAATTGTAATTATACTCTAAGTAATTGTAGGGCTGGACCTTTATTCTACCTGAATCAGAACAGCCAGTGTCACTTGGCTTCCCACTTTTAAATCCTAATTATTCATTCAGCAACAGCTTATCTTTGTCGTCTGTGCTAGGAGAGGATCTTTACATTCTGTTTGCAACTCACCGTGCCAAGAAATGTCCTCTATAGTGCCCCCATGATTCTTATTTCATGTGCCCACGCATTGTAGCAGCTACCTTACTTCCACATCCCTCAACTGAGCTGCAGCTTGCCCCTTATGCAGCTGATACCGTCTCACATGGTGGGTATTTGACATGAAAGCTAGTTCCAAGACACGCAATCAAAAAGGAAGACTATATTTTCTGATATATTCTTGTAAAATTTTCCTCCAGTGCGATGTTTGTTAAGGTGAATTTTAACTGATGACATCCCAATTTTAAGTCATTCAAAATGCTAAGGGAGGCATTTTTTCTAGGACCAAGGAAAACTTTATATTACGTATATATGTTAAGATTTGTAGTTTTATTTTTATGAACCACTTATTTGTTTTAATGATTACTGATTTCATGCTTTCAATTTCATACTTCTTTTTATGTTGGGGATCAAACTGTTGTCAAGTTTTTATGCTTTTAGATCAAAAAGCTCTTCTGAAGCTCAGGTTAAGGACTATTCTCTGATATATGCATATCTGCACATGGATTTTATTTTTTCTCCTCTGAGCTTTCCTAGAGCACTGACAAGACTGATGACTGAAACTCTGCCAAGTCAAATAGTTTTCCTGTCCTGTGCCCCAAGCCAGTTTTACAAACCAGATGATATAGGGATGCTCAAAAACTCCAGTTCTATTAATTATGCTTAATGGAGGCATTTTAGGACACTCATACATATCCTCTTTAAAAATATGAATCTACTTAAGACTGAGATTAAATGTATTGTCTCTAAAGGACATTATGACATTTTTCAAAGAATTTCTGGGAATTAACGATTGTTAAAAAATTCCATACATTTTTAAGGTTGAATATTACATTGACTTATTAATGAATCATCAAAATCAACCTCTAATGGAATGAACCAGCCTCATTAAAAATGTGAGTTTTAGATGTTTTTTCCACTAATCCAGTTATATTTGCAAATAATTTAAACAATATTTAAATGTGAGTTTTCTGAATCAAATGATAAACTAGTCCTCTATGATTTAACTAATATTATCATCATGGGAAACTTATTTTCTTTTATGGTTGAACTTTCATAGATTAATGCATACAAAAGTTAAATTTCTTCATCCAAGACATTGCCAATTAAATGATGGAGTCCATGTCCTAATTTTTTATATGAACAACTTTTTATTTTTTTAAAATTTTTATTAGTGAGACATCATGAGGTACAGTTGTAGACTTACAAATTTTTGTGCTTGGGTTTCAATTATACAATGATCAAATACCCATCCCTCCACCAGTGCCCATTTCCCACCACCACGGATCCCAGTATCCCTCCCACCCCCCATCCCACACTGCCTCTGTGACAGGGCATTCCCCTCTGTTCTCTCTCTCCTTTTGGGTGTTGTGGTTTGCAAAAGAGGCACTGAGTGGCAATCATGTTTGGTCTATAGTCTACTTTCAGCATGCTTCTCCCACCTGGGAGGATCCTCCCAACACCCTTTATTTGGTGCCCCCTTCTCTATCTGAGCTCCCTTTTCCCCTAGCATGTCCTAATTTAATCTTCTTGGCTTAACACCTAGCCATGTACAACTAATCAACAGGGATCAATCCTATTACATCATTTTCTAAGAAATGTATTTATCGGCATGATGTAAAAAAAAGGTGTAGCTCTGCTAGATAAAAGACATTACAAACTGGGGTGGTTAGGGTTCCCTTAAAAATTTAACAAAGAAAATGAAAGTGATCTTTAGTAGGAAATCTGCCATTTGTGGCGGAGGTTGGGGGGAAGACAGGACAGGGAGAAGGCAACAACTGTGATAGAGGAGGTGTTCCACTGGAAGGAGGAGGTGGTGCTGAAAGGTAGCAAAGTGGTCTGAATGGAGCCCTGTTAGTAACAATACTGTAGCCATAGTCCAAAAACCCATTTAACAGTTACTCTCAGAGAGACAGATTGGTGGGTGAGAAGCAACTGGGTAGCAGGGAGCACTGATGGATGAAAGTGCATAGTGGTGAAGGGATTTATGACTGAAACGCAATCATGAATAACTTCGTAATTTCCTAATGACTAAAATATTTTTTAAAAGAAATTAGTCATAAGAAGAGCCCACATAGAGGAAAGTGGGAGAGATGGCAGCTCACTCAGACTCACTCACTTCTGGGTTTATAAGAGTAAATTTTAACATTGTTTTTAAACCCACACATCAAATTAGACTACTTTCAATCCACAAGTCTTTTGTTTTGAGGCCACACCTGGCTATGCTCTGCACCCAAGAATAACTCCTGATGTGTCTCCAAGGACCATATGGGTGCTGGGGATCAAACGTGTAGGCAAAATGCAAAGCAAATACCCCACTCTCTGTGCAATCAAGTGAGCTCCCACAGTTCTTCAGTGAAATGCTTGATGCCTGTCAGATTAGAATTCTTAACCTTACAGAAGGTTATAGCGCAATGGAATGTCCCCAGCATGTTGTGGAGAATTAACTCCTTCACCAATGCGTTAATATTTCTGTAGAAAACATATAAATATCGCACTAAGAATGATAGGTGGACTATAAATAGCTTAATGACAATGAGGATCAGGCTCTCCTTCTCAGTTAATTAACATTAGGTCGTGTTTTATTGCCAACAGCACTATGATCACAGATTTACAGATAATTAATATGGACCTTTACTATTAACCCAATAGTATAGATCACAGCCGGGCAAACTAAGGTCTGGGATCAGCTTTAATCTGCTGTCTCTTTTTGCAAATATATTGTTTAAACAAAGTGCCACTTATTTATTTAGATTCTGTCTATGGCTGTTTTCACACTGCATAAACACCACTGAATAGTCTCAACAGAGATCATCTGAAAAAGCTTGAAATATTTATTGTCTGTCCCTTTAAAGCACAATCTCCTTGGCTCCATGATGTTAAGATTCAACCAGGAATTGCGGTGCAAAAAGGCTTCACTGCTCTCTTGACTGTAGCTGAGCAGAGGCAGTTCAAGGTGGCTACTCTGGGTGCCACTCAGACAAAAAGTCCTGGTGATTCAATACAATGAGCCAAGGGTGTGGTGCTGCTCTGGCCCTACAGGGCTGTTTCCAGGGCTGTAAATGGTGGTGTGTGATGGTACCTGGGCCTGTAGGGCAATATTGAATAGGGTTTTTTTTTTGTGGTGATGAGAGATTATGGTGCTAGCATTTTATTTCAGGTTCATACAATTAAGCTATGTCCTTCGTCCTATAATTGACTTTCTAAAGCAAAAACTTTAACAACTTGCTACATGTATGGAGATATATTTTTTCCAATATAATGTAAATAAAGGGAGCTTAGAATTACACAATTTTTTGTATTTTATAATGTCACATAACACTAACTTAAGTTGATAGAGATAAATTAAGGATATATATCAAATCTTTGAGGGCTGGAGTGATAGCGCAGTGGTAGGGCGTTTGCCTTGCACGCAGTCAACATGGCCGACCTGAGTTCGATTCCTCCGCCCCTCTCGGAGAGCCCGGCAAGCTGCCGAGAGTATCTCGCCCGCACGGCAGAGCCTGGCAAGCTCCTCATGACATATTCGATATGCCAGACACAGTACAACAAAGTCTCCAATGGAGACGTTACTGGGCCCGCTCGAGCAAATGGATGAACAACGGGAGGGCCTTACTTACTTACTTATATATCAAATCTTTGAGACATAAAAAATTTAATATAAGATCGATGGTTGAAAAGCCAACTGAAAAATACTGGGGAAAAATTACTTATTCAAAATGATAAAGTATAAAAAGAGTATCAATTTAACAAAAATAAACACCTGGCAAACAAAAAGCAAAGCTAGAACATTAGAAGTTTGAAAGCATTAAGCTGATTTACACAATGACAAATTTAGTTTTGATCATGGAAGGACCTTAAAAAAACAGTCATAGGTTTTTTGGGATAAAACTGAATTTTAGAGAGGAAAAACAGGTATTTTACGAGCAGCACCATCAATTAGTAACCGAACAAGGACAGAGAACAATTTAAGCACAATCACCAAATGAGGAAAAAATTGATTTCTTTTTATGTTTTTCATGTTGCACTTTAAATGTCTCTATTTATTTAATGAAAAGTCTTTCTCTATCAGAATTAAAGGTTTAAAGATTTATCAACCAAGTTTACTGGTCTCCCTTTAATATAAGTTTATATTTTCAGAAATATTTTCCTGCATGGATCAATATCTATTCAGTAATTTTTGCTTCTTTAAAAGTAAAACCTTTTCTGAAAGCACCTTGGCATTAGAACTATACAGTGAGTGAGTTTTTAGGGCCATATAAATCTAATAATCTCCACAATTCCATCCTCAAAATAAAGATGAAATTCTCCTAAGTGCTTCTCCCACTTTGGTAAAGAAAATCTCATTTTCTTCTGAGAAAACAGATATAACTGTCATGGTTATGACCATTTAGAAAGTTCTTTGCTTCTGTTCAGTTAGGTCTTACCTTCATTTAGATTCTATTATGTTCAAAAATAATGTTTGTTGGACTATAATATATATGGCCATTTGTTTATTTATTTATTTATTTATTTACTGTTGACTATAAAGCCAGTGCTGGAGCTATAGCACAGCGGTAGGGCATTTGCCTTGCGCACAGCAGACCTACAGAGCTGGGTTCTATTTCTCCGCCCCTCTTGGAGAGCCCAGCAAGCTACTGAGAGCATCTTGCCCGCATGGCAAATCCTGGCAAGCTCCCTGTGACATATTCAATATGCCAAACACAGTAACAAGTCTCACAATGGAGACGTTACTGGGTCTGCTCGAGCAAATCGATGAACAATGGGAAGACAGTGCTACAGAGCTACCCTGCAGTGCTCTGGGCTTATGCCTGACTCTGAATTCAGGTATCCCTCCTGCTGGGGTTCAGGGGGTGCTGGGATCAAATCTTAGAAAACTTAATTCAATGGAAATGAGTTACCTTCTATACTATTGCTCTAGCCCCTCTATAAGCCACTTTACAAAATTAAGTATAATTTAATTACAAATTGTAGGTAATTAATAAAAAAAATGTTGGGAGTCAGAGAAGAGGGTAGAAAGGATTAACTAAGTTACTATTTATGTGGACATAGAGGTATGGGAATGAAATTAAAGGAATAGAATGTTGTAGAAATGAGTATGTGTAGTGTGTGTGTGTGTATGACAGGGGTCAAATGAGATATAGATAAAGACAGAGAGACAATTAATTATTTAGTTATTGACAGTTGTAGTTCCCACCCTCAAAATAAACTACAAGTCTCCTAAGGAGAACATTGCTTCTCCCACTTCGGTAAGGAGAATCTCATTTTTTTCTGAGAAAATATGTACAATTGTCATGGTTATGACCATTATATGTTTTTAATAGTTGCCTAAAATTTAAGTATGACTAAATTTCAAACATTCAGTTTATCTCACTTTTGGTGAAAAATAAAATATATATTATAGCTCTGAAAATTGAATAACAGTTACAATCATTCATGATTTCTCATTTTAAAGTACTCTTTCCATGATTTTCATTTTTATTTTAAATTAAATTTTGGTATAACACTTTATGTTTTTTCATGCAGGCGAGATATTCTCAGAAGCTTGCCAGGCTTTGCGAGAGGGGCGGAGAAATCGAACTCGTTGGCCACGTTGGTTGGCTGCGTGCAAGGCGAATGCCCTACCCATTGTGCTATCGCTCCAGCTCCAGTTTGATTCCTTTGCCCCTCCCGGAGAGCCCCGGCAAGCTACCGAGAGTATCTGGCCCACATGGCAAAGACTGGCAAGCTACCCATGACGTATTCGATATGCCAAACACAATAATAAGAAGTCTGAAAATGGAGACGTTACTGGGCCCACTCGAGCAAAATCAATGAACAATGGGAGGACAGGGACAGGGAAAGGACTTTATTTTTTATTGACTGAGGTTCCATGATTTACCAGATTATTAATGGTGGTTTCTCATGCTACAATGAGTTTCTAATGTTACACTTTCTTTTTTTTTTAATTTTTATTAGTGAAACACCATGAGGTACAGTTGTAGACTTACAATTTGTTGTGCTTGGGTTTTGATTATACAATGATCAAATACCCATCCCTCCACCAGTGCCCATTTTCCACCACCATGGATCCCAGTAACCCTCCCACCCCCATTGCCCCCATCCCACCCAGCCTCTGTAGCAGAGCATTCCCTTTTGTTCTCTCTCCTTTTGGGTTTTCTGGTCTGCAAAAGAGGCATTGAGTGGTAATCATGTTCGGTCCATAGTTTACTTTCAACATGCATCTCCCCTCCTGGAGGATCTTCAAACACCCTTTATTTGGTGCTCCCTTCTCTATCTGAGCTGCGCTTTCCCCTAGAATGTCCGGCTGGCCTCTAAGGCATGGAGTAATCCTCCTGGTACTGATCTCGGCTATTCTTGGGCATTAATCTCCTATTTTGTTACTTTATGTTCCCCAGATGAATGCAATCTTTTTATGCCTATCACTTTCACTGCCGTATCACTAATGATTGTATCTCTCTATTTGAATTGTAAGATATAATTACTAAAATCTGACAGGATAAATCCAAAGTGGATATTTGGCATATATAAGTCAATTAAAACAAGTTGATTAATTTGAACAAAAATTAAGGCTTAGTTTTTCTTGAAATTACTTCTCTATCAGATATAACAATTTTTATTCTTGAGTCTCAATCATTAAGTTTGAGCTAGACCTTGTCACAGTTAAGAACTGGAAGAAATGGGTTGGGGGCTTATTCTGGAAAGAAATGATACAGTCAGGTCTCTGTTAAGAAGGCAGCTCCCTCCAATGCTCATCGACACTTGCTCATGTCTTGGGAACTCATAAATCTGAGGTGGTCCACTGCATATATATGAAAGCTTCTTATCTCAGGGCTCTGTGTGTTTGCACCTTGACTCATTCATTACATGCTGAGTCATGTGGGCACACTGACAGCGGAGAAAGATGAAAAACTTTTTTTCTTCTTTTTTTTTGTATCTTGCGGATGCATAGTTTTGATCTAGAAGTGGAATTTAGACAGTTATTCCAAATTAGTAATGACTAAAAAGCTACAATGAACAGCTAATATAAATAAATAATGATTCAGTTTTCTTAAAAAGCTGTAACAACACAAAATATCACTGGAAGTGAAACTCTGAATGGTAATATTTTGCAATGTAGCTGCAAGGTATTGGTGTGAAATATGTTCTTAGCATTTCTTTACTAAGCACTGATCTGAGTGTAATACTGGACTCTTAAACTTGAATGCTGAATTTCTTCTTTCCAGGTAACTAGATATGCTAAACACGTGAAAGGTTCCTAGTGCCAATCCTGTAAATCCTGGTAACCTAAAGCATATGAGAACACCAAATACCGTTGGTAGTGTTGTTCACAAAAACTTAGATCAGAAAATTATTTTTAAAATTCCCGGGGACATTTTCTTATATATAAGAAAAACGCTACAAATTAGCACCCTAGCTTTTCCCACTTTTTATCTCAATCCATGTGCTCAAAAACAGGAATAATAGCTACTACTGAAAGCAAAGATTTTACAAAGTCCTAGTAACTCCCTGCATTGAACTATTTCATATTCTAGGAAACAGAGCAATGGTACAGTGGGTAGGACAGCCTTGATGCGGCTGACCTAGGTTCGATCCCTGATATCCCATATGGCTCCCTCAGCCCGCCAGGAGTAATTTTTTTCTTTTTGGGTCACACCCAGGGATGCCATGGGGCCATTCCTGGCTCTGTACTCAGGAGTCACTCCTGGTGGTCCTTGGGGGGCCATATGGGATGCTGGGGATCAAACCCAGGTCGGCTGCATGCAAGGCAAACACCCTACCCGCTGTGCTATTGCTCCGGCCCCATGGAGTAATTTTTGAGTTTAGAGACAGGAATGATCCCTGAACCCAACCAAGCCTGTAGCCCCAAAACAAGAAAATTAAAATTAAAAAATGAATAAGATAAAGGTAAAGGCCCTCCCGTTGTTCATCGATTTGCTCGAGCGGGCCCAGTAACATCTCCATTGGAGACTTTGTTGTTACTGTGTCTGGCATATCCAATACTCTCGGTAGCTTGCCAGGCTCTCCGAGAGGGGCGGAGGAATCGAACTCGGGTCGGCCACGTTGGCTGCGTGCCAGGCAAACGCCCTACCGCTGAATAAAATATTTGCATTTGAGTCACCATGATTTACAATATTGTTAATGTTAGTGTTTCAGGCATGCGATGTCCCAGTGCCACAAGATCCACCATTGTCTCTGGCCTTCCCTTCAACACAGCTCTCTTCCAGTCTCCCTGCCAGGGTATGCTCCGCTCCCAGCAGTTTTCAGAAGATGAGGTGCTTCAGGAACTAATTTCTGACTGACCTTAAACATCTGTCTTGCGGGGCCAAAGTGATACTACAGCTGTAGGGTATCTGCCTTGCTGCAATGACCTGGGATCAATCCCATTGGTCCCAGAGTATGCTAGGAGTAGTTCCAATGCTCAGAGCCAGAAGTAATCTCAGAGCATCTCCAGGTGTGTCCCCAAAACCAAAATTAGAATAAAATAAACATCCCTTTTGAAAATATCTTTATACCTTGAATTTAGCCATGCATAGAGGATAAAGTAAGAAAGATTAAACCAGGTCTTTTCCCAGGATAAAAGATTACAAAAATTTCTCACTTGGTTAGAAAACGAAAATTTAACAATTTACTTGAGTACAGATGAAAACCTTTCTACTGTTTTTAGAAGCCCAACAGTGTACTTTTAAACCTCTTGAAGTTATTTCAAAATTGCCTTTCATCCTGCTAAGGTCAAGTCACCTTCTCACATGGAACGATTTTCTATTTCAGGTGTAAGATTAAAAGTGGGATAAAAATGGGGGGTTCTGAAGACAAAGTGAAATAGCAGACAGGTTATTCTAAGTGGACTGTCATGGAAAATTCCAGTCTCACTAAAATGATAGTAAATATATTTTGTAGGGAATGAAATGTATTACATTTTATGGTGAAACATTTTTATTCTTAGTAAAGTGATTACATATTTTATTCTTAAGGTATGAAATAATGAATTTCAAGGAAATGGGAAAAGATTATTTTGATTATATCAATGTTGGAAGCTGGGACAATGGAGAATTAAAAATGGATGATGATGAAGTATGGTCCAAGAAAAACCACATTATCAGATCTGTCTGTAGTGAGCCCTGTGAGAAAGGTCAGATAAAGGTAAGGATAGAAGCTTCTTTAATTGTTTTGTAAATTCAAAAGCAGTTATTATTTATTTATTTAGATGCTTGGTTATCCTTTACATTATAAGTTTATGATTAGATATTGGGTTTTTATCTCATTAATTTTATATAAATTTTATTGCAGTTGTCTTAGTAGTTGCAATGTCTCAACCAATTAATGAGTCATTTCTGCCTTACATTTTCACTCATGCAAGTCTTTAGGAATGCTTTTCTGAAATAAACATCACAGATAGAGTAGAAAGCACATTGATATCCAACTAACTTAACATGTATCTAACAAACACTTCCTAATGTAACCGTTGATATAAATGGGTCAAAATTATGTAATAATTTAATTATGTAATAATTTAATTCTACAAGATTTATCTAAATGCAGCAAAACTTTATGATCACCAGCATCCTGTAATGGTGATATGTTCATTAAGAAATAAATGAGCTAATAATTTTATACAAGATATACCTTTTGAATAAAGTACCAGGCATTGGATTGATGAGAAGCAAGGCTGAAGATATGCTAATAATTAACTTATGAAAAAGTTGAATATGTTAACAAAGAAAGATTATGGAATGCCAAAGCATTCAGAGTAAATAAATGTGCATTGAGCAAAACACTGGAGACCACGACTCTGAAAGCATACGAAAGGAAGGAAACGCAGGTTGGCAACACCAACAGCTAGTGGCTAAGATCACAGTCGCACGCAAGGCTGGCCAGTGCAAGACAAAGGCTGAAGGAAACACTCAGTGATTGAGGTTGGCCCTTCACTGAGGGTCACTGGAAACAGGTCTTGCCATATTGAATAGAGCTGTAATTGAGCAATGATAAGTGTTGTGGAAAGTAGATAAGGGGAGGGAGACCTATTAGTTTGAGAGCAATGGAAAGATAATTTTAGGCTGAATTACTCTAAAAAGTAAGAGCTAAATACACTTACAATAAGTAAAAGACAAAGAAAGGATAACAATATAATGAAAATTAAACGAATATCTATTGGGGTTCACTGTTACTGGTAAATGGTGTCAAAATAACTTCTTTCTCAAATAGTCACTGTGGTAACAGTATGTCTCAGGCAGTCTGACCCCTGGACTTGGGACAGATGACTTTTTTCTATTCATGATGATCACTTCTACATTTTAGTGCACATTTGAGGTTTTTGTTCATTGATGATTAAGATTGATGACAAAATACTTTACTGTAAGCTGTGAAATATTCCAAGAGGAATTCTGAAGATTCAGCAAGCACAATACTCAAAGAAATAAACACATAAGAATAAACCTGATGAATGCCCTAATAGCTAAAAAATTATGCAGGCTTTGTTATGGTATACAGTGAGAGTTGAAAAACTGCAGCCCACAGGACTAATTTAAGTTTCTATAGTTTACAGTTTTATTGTTCTATTGATTTACAAAAATATAGCCATACTTATTTGTTTATGTATTTTTACGGCTACCTTTATGCTACAATAGTTAGTAACTAGTAGTTAGCACCTTTAACAGACTATTATTCAACTTGTAGTGGAAAGAACATTTTCCAGAGGAAAAATTCCAGAGGAAAAAAAATTTTACTTATAGAAATGCACAGATTTCAGAGAAATTTCAGTTATATACACAAATATAACTATAAGTGTTCTAATTTACAAATGGACACAGACAGACATTTCAATATAGGTATAAAAGGTTAATTATCCAAGTAATTCATTTAATAAAATAGTTTCCCTTATCACCAAAACAATTTTATTATGTTGGACTGGCCATTTAGATTAAGGCTACTTAAATTTATACTTTACCTTAATTTCTTTAATTTTAAAAAGAAAATATTAATACTCATAACTATTCATAAAGTTAGAATATTTAATAATTTACTACCTCTGATGACATTTTAAAGAATTTCTGTAAAAGCACTTTCTGATTTTAAAAGTAATATATTTGAATAAAATATTGATGGATATTAATCTATGCAAAAATTAACCAACATTAAAAATAATTTCCTTAGGTGATCCGGAAGGGAGAAGTGAGCTGTTGTTGGACCTGTACACCCTGTAAAGAGAATGAGTATGTCTTTGACGAGTACACCTGCAAGGCATGCCAGCTGGGATCCTGGCCCACTGACGACCTCACAGGTACATGCATCACAATATTTCTTAGGTACACCTCCAAAAATCAACTGAGAAGGGACACAGACATAGGGGAAGGGTCACATCTCCAAATATATTTTCTCATCTTCTGGGTATTGTTATGCAACCAAAGAATTCCTTTAAAGAACTGAAGCCTTTCCATTGCCTGGGCTAACCACAGATATTCTTTGAAAGACCTTCACACCCTTACCCCAGCTTGACCAGAATTTTAGTTTGGCTCTCTCATCTCATCCTTATAGCCCCCAAATGTCCCTAAGTGGGTTCTAAATAACTGTGTCACTTGAGATGGAGAGATGACTTTTAGCTAGAAAGACATTAACGTATGTTACGATATGCTTAAGAGGAATACAGTCACAGAGAATTGGAATTTGTCTAAAATTCCTTGTTTTTCTAAGGACTTAGAGTTTTTCTTAAACAAACTCCAACTAGCAGATTTTCAAATATTGGCAACAACAGGGCAAGATATATCTGTCTGTTTTATTTGGCTGTTTTCGCTTGAGTGTTTTTTCTTCCAAAATGTTAAGAAATATGTCATTGTGTTCTCACTATTTTAAAGTTTTACAACATAAAAATACAGTATGCTTTTGTATTTTCATATTAATGATATTTAATTTTTACAACATGGAAATACAATATATTTCCTTATAATTTAATAAATATTTATTAAATGCATAGCACGTCTGTTGACCTACTACTAAAATAAAAATGCGCAAATTTCACCAGCCATTTTCCCCTTTCCCACTTACTATGGAATTACCATGGTTCGGATGTTTCTCTCTTTTCCCCCAAATTTTCTTAAAGCAGCATGAGTTACAAAGCTATCCATAGTTGGGGTTTTGACATAGTGTTACATCAGCAGTTCCACCCTCCCTCCTCAGTGCAAGCTGCCATATTAACAAACTTATCTTTTACCTTTGGTCATTAACATTTGGATCTCGTGACTTCAGTGTTGTTGAGTCTGTGATTGGGATATTTAGCTCTGCCATTCCTGTCACCAGTGACATGCCTGAATCCCCTTGGCCCCAAGCCCCATTGTATTTCATCTACATTTTCTCCCCTTCCCCTTCACTTGACTTCTTTCCTTCTCCATGGTATCTGGGACCAAGGGTGATCTTGGCACCCCACCCTCTTAAAACAATGGATTTCCTTATTAAACTACTCTAAATACTGCGTTTAAGTGTTATTGTCTTCTGTTCTTCTGCCTCACTCCATTTAACATCATATCTCCCAGTACCATTCATGTTGCAGTGAATTGCACGGTTCTTTATTCCTTACAACTGTATAGAATTCCATTTTGTGTATATACCATATCTTCATGATCCATTTAACTGTTGTTGAACATGTAGGTTAATTCTTAATCTTAGCTATTGTACTGAGATCTTCCATGAATAATGGTGTGCACACATCCTTTTGAATAAATGTTTTTGTGTCCTGAGTGTAGATACCCCAAAGTAGAATTACTGGATTACATAGTAGCTCAATTTTAGGTTTATTGAGAACCCTCCGTACTATTTTCCGTAGGGGTTGAACCTGACAGCATTACCAACAGCAGTAGATGAGAGTTCCTTTTTCACCACAACCCTGCCAACACATATTTGTCCTATTATTTTTGATATGCCACATTCTAACTGATGTGATATGGTGTCTTGTTGCTGTCTCAATTTGGACTTCCCTCTAATAAGTGACGGTGAGCAGTTTTTCATGCTCCTGTTGTCTTCCTTGAACAAGTCCCTGTTATTTTTCTTTTCCCCATTTTTGTTAAGGTATTGGTATTTTTTATTGCTGATAGTTGTTAGTACTTTATATATCCTGACTATCAAGCCTTTATTTAATTTGTTAACCACAAATATTTCTCCCATTCAGTACACAATCTTTTATCTTTAGCCCAAGATTCTTTTGCCATGCAGAAACTCTTTAATTTGATATAGTACTATTTGTTTTGGTTTACTTTTGATTCTGTCACCTCTCTCAATGGCACAATAACACTAATTACAGCCTTAAGTTCCAGATGTAGGAGCGTTCTGCCTATATTTTTCTTAATGTACTTTATAAATCCAGGTCTGGTCTCGAGGTCTTGTTTCACTTTAAATTGACTTTTGTATAAGGTGTGAGATATAGATCCAGCTTTAATTTTTTAGATGTTATAATCCAATTTTTGCATGTGATAACATCATTTGTTATCAATTTATTGAAGAAGCTGTCTGTACTCTCTATTTCATGCTCTCAGCACCTTTGCCAAACACTGCCTAACTATATATGTGGGGAGTTGTCCTTAAATATTTGATTCTTATCCATTGTCAGAATTTATCCTTATTCCAATATCATGCTGCTTTAATCACTTTGGTTTTACAGTCTGGGTGAAAGATAATGCAATACCTCCCAGGTTCCTATTTTTCAATATGATTTTGGCTCTTTGGAGTTTTGTATGATTCTATACAAACTTTATTATGGAGTGTTCTAAGTCCTTGAAGAATGTCTGAATTTGGGTAGGTATTTCATTGAATCTATACAGTAGTTTAGGTAAGATATTAGGTTTGACAATTATGATTCTTCCAATCCAAGACTATAGAATAATTTTCCATTTTCTAAAGTCTTTATCTTTGTTTCTTAAGTGTTTTGAAGGTTTGATAGTATACATATCTCACCTCTTTCCATAAGTTGATTCCTAGGTACTTGAAATTCTTGGACACTATATTGAAAGGAACAGATTCTTTGAAATCTTTATACTTAGATTCATTATTTGTATGTAATTATGAAATTGATTTTTATGTTTCACTTTGCATTTGGCCACTTTGTTGTATTGGTTTATTGTTTCTAGGAAGTTTTGTTTTTCTTTGGACTCTTTTGGATCGTCTATGTATAGTATCATCTCATCTGCAAATAGAGATGATCTGACTTCTTTTCCAATTTTGACCCCTATGGTTTCCTTTTCTTGCTTTATTGCTACTGGTAAGACTTCTAATAAAATGTTGAATAAGAGTGGAGACAGTGGACATTCTTACCTTGTACCTGATTTCAGGGGGACTGTTTTTAGCTTTTAACCATTATGAATAACATTTGCTCTATGTTTGTTATACATACTCTTCATAACTTCAGAAGATTCTTTCCCTCTTATTTTGTTTGTGGTTTTTATCATAAGTTGATGTTGGATTTTGTCTAAAGTTTTCTTTTATTCATTGATATAATACTTTTATCATATTTTATTAGATTTTTATCTTTTTTTACTGATGTAGTATACCATGTTAATTGATTTCTGTATATTGAACTATCCTTGCAGCATTGGGATAGATTTATCCACTTGATATGATTTTTTTATGTGCTGTTGAATTCAACTTGGTAAGATTTTGTAGAGAATGTTGACATTGATGTCTATTAAGGACACTGATGTCTATTAAGAGCATTGATCTGCAGATTTCTCTCTCTCTTTTCGCTCAGTTTTTTAAAATTTATTTTTGTTTTTAAATTTTATTTTATTTTTATAAAGCTGTTCACTATAATTGACTATTCAGTATTCCAACACCAATCGCACCACCATTACATATTCTCACCACCATATTTCAAATTATTCCACCCCAATCCCTAAGATCTGCCCTTAAAGCAGAACATAGTAATCTATTTTGTATTTCTTGTTCTGAGTAATCTGCTAAAGATGATCCAAAAAATTTCCTTACAGGAAAGTGAATGAAAATTGCTATATCATTCTGGAGCCCTTAAGCCTTTGTATAGAGTATCTCGTATACACTCTATGTCTCCAGGAATTCTAAGTTTTTAAATAGTGTGATACAGCTATAATTAAATTTTTAACTGGATGGTGACTAGGGTCTGGAGGCATATTTGTGGCACGTTGCTGTCTTCCTCTTCCAAGGTTTATTTCTGAATCTCTGGATCATGGCTATTAATGAGTCTAAAAGGCACCAGAGGCAGTTTGTGGGCCTGACTGCCAGGCTTCTGGATGCTCAGGGAGATGGAAGGAGGTCACCGATTCCCAGTTCCATGTGAGCCTGAAGATTTCAGTCACAAGTCCTGAATATCTGGATATTTCAGCAGATTCACTCATGGATGAGGTCCAACTGAGACTGTGGAGATTGGCATTGGTGGCGATTGAGTTCTGGAGGTTTTCGGGGCTCTTTGGGGGCAGGTGAGCTGTCAGGCTCTTTGTGGACATGAGATGGTACTTATCCAGCCTCTCCTGCTTGGCCCAAATGAGACAGTCTGGAGCACAGCCTGGTGGAATCTCTGCGGCCTGTTGCTTTCTTCCTTTTCAGAGGTTTATTTGTGAATCTGATTATTTCACTTTAAAAAATCTCTCTGTCTTCTTTGGGTATCAGGTTAATGTTGGATTTGTATAAGGTAATAGGAAGATTTTCTATTTCTTTGATATTTTGGAAAAGCTTGTGGATTAATGCCGGAAAGTCTCCCTGAATATTGGAAAGAACTCATAAATTATCCCCATCTGGACCAGGACTCTAGTTTGAGAGAGATTCTTCATACTGTTTAAATTCCCTTGGTCATGTTTGGCCTGTTAAGGCTATTTCCTCTTCGTTCAGTTTTGGGAAATAACATGTTTTTAAGAATCTGTCAGCTTCTCCTAGATTCTCCAATATCACTGAGTAAAAATGTTCATAGAACTCTCTCACTGTGTCTTGGATTTTTGAGGTCCCTGTTTAATTTCTCCCCTTTAATTTCCTATCCTATGTATTTGAATACTTTCCCTTTTATTTCTTGTGAGTCTAGCCAAAGTTTGGTTGTCTATATTATTTATTCTTAAGTTATCAAAACAAACAACAACAACAAAAAGAACAATTTCTGGAGCTGTGAGTGACAAACTTGACTCAGTGGAAAGGTTTTTTTCCTGGAGAAGAGCAAGTTGACAGTGTTTGACACAGACTTGAATGTGTTCTGTACACCTAGCTGCTAATGTCACAGGTCAGGTGAGCAGTTGGCATGGTTTTCTGAGTGAGTTACACTTAATCTCCCCCAACTAA